AAGGAGAATTACTAATGAGATCTTGGGAGTTAAAGGGTTAAGGCCTGTGTAGGTTTTCCACGTAAGAACAATTGCGAAATAGTGAGGACTCCTCTTAGACTTTCTTAAACACGTCTTAGAAAGCTTCTGTTAAGCAAAGAGAAAATTGTTAAGCAATAATTTAAATGAGAATACAAATCTCATGCAAGTGATGATCTCTGGAAAATCTTCCCTGACTTTTGATATTTCCTTTAATATTTCAAACATCCGCCACTACGTTTCTCTTGCTTCACTGGCAGCGAAACAGCTTGGTTCAATTCATGAAAACATTTTTGTCCCAATGTTCCAGCGCGAAGTCACTCCCACGACTAGTCTTCTTTTTCGAAACCACGCACGCTCTGACAAAGTTGCACTAGTTACATGCCACTATGACTGCCATGTGATCTAAGCCACACGTCACTTCCTTTACTTTGCCCGGTACTTCCACCTGAAAATCCAGAAATAAAAGAGGGTTTCACCTTAATCTCGCTCAAGAAGTTTAACAGGCCAAAACGTAGCCAAAGAAACTCGAAAAAATTCGTCGAATGATGAGTCCGTCGGCCCGTCTGTCCGTTCGTACCACCGTTCGGTTTACTTTAAGACTCAACTTGCAAGGCCAGGTCACTAATGCTTACTAAGTGCTACTCACCCTTTTAGGCGTCCATTGATCGAGTGTGGAGCCAAGACCCAGTCTCCCAAATGACCCTCTACCCCAGGTGTACAAGTTTCCTGATTCTGAGAACAAAAAGAATTGTGACTCACGAAAAATTCATCAACTTAAGTCCCGGTTTTGTCTAATGTCGTGCATCTGACTGCTTCCTAGGGGCTCCTAGTGCGTCAATGTTTCGGAATTAAACAACTGTAACTGTGAAGTAGTGTATTGGGAAATATGGATATATTTGAAATTACAAAGGAAGGTGTGACATAAAACAAACTGTATACACCAACTCTAGAAGCAAACGAAACTGGGTAGTCTCCGCAGCAAAGCCATGATTTCGAATAAATATCTAACAAATTCGACCTATGGTTATACTAAAATGAGGATATCTATCTAGCAACCTAGAAAATGCATTTCCGTTTTCTAGAGGGAATGCGTCCATTTGCGTGGGCGTGAAAAGAAATTGCACACGTGATG